TGACCACGGCAAAAGTTGGTGACATTTCGTCAAGGAACTCCATCAGCCGGTCAAATAAGCAACATACTACCCGATAATCAGACCAAATGTGACAAGTTAAACGAGGAGCAGAGTGTTATACTCAAATTTGTCTTTGAATAGCATATTGTTGTGTTTGGGGTGAATTTAACTCTAGAGAAAAGTGGAGAGCTCGGCCATCTCGTCCTTGTCTTGCGCCTTAAACCTATTTAGATGGTCTTTAAAAGACGTACACAAGAAATGACCTTCAACGACGCATTGGAAACAATCTCGCTGCATAATATCTGAACAGACAAATGTGGTTTTTGTGGGTGCAATTCCAGTTGAAGTACAGGTGAATGTTAATTCGTGGTGTCAATAAATTGGACAGCCACTTTAGTTAAGTGCGTCAGTGTGGAAAAAGGCTACAAGGTGGGAAGAGGAGGACAGGTGGGTTGCAGTCGCGATTGGATGGGTTGAAAACCACGAAAACCCCTGAGACTCAGACCATTTGGATTCCCGCAATCATGTAACATAGTAATGCAGTATAAAGGAATGTGGTCTGGCGTGGTGTAGTATAGGGTGGTGAGGGGGTCTGTTTGAAGTCCAAATGATTGTGTAATACCAGCATGGAAGCTCAACCGTATCGATGTAGAGAAAGTCGCTTCCACCCAATGCATATAAGCATCGTTTGAGCATAAGCGAGTGGGTGTGGTGATGTCAACGGATGTCTCTGTTGTGTCGCATCCACATGACTCTACCAATTTCACAGGAAGGAGTGAGACCCTACCCCGACTTTGATTCATCCTCCATTCCGTCCTCCACTGGTGCAAGCATGCAACATTGTGCTTCATGTAATCCATCGTGTTCATGTGGTTCACTGGAAGCAGGTTGCTCAACACATACCCATGAGCATCCAACAAGTGCATGGAACGTCTGACACACATCTCATCTCACTTGACGAAGTCGCGCAGCACACGAATCCTTCCTTCCACTGTCGCGCTCAATACGCCATAACTAAAGGACGAACGCGGACATTAGCAATTTCGACAGGATAGGTCACGCAGCCTGCCAAAACTCGCTCTCTCCTTCATCCAGCTCAGAAGGACTGAATGTTCAATTCCCAATACTCACTGCTGAATGCAGTGAAGCCTAAGAAGACAAGGATTTTCTGGATCGCATCAGTATGAGTGATGCAAGAAACCTGGGTATGCTGTACTGTACTATACCATACTATGGTGTAAAGTGGCGTGGTACATCACTTCCTACCGCCACCACCATAAGTGTCATCAAGGAAGTGGAAGCATGCGGATTCACCGTACTCCACAGCCACCCACGACGAATTGGAGCAGACTGCCTTAGGATGCTTCAGCTGTTCTGCTTCGATTTGAGTGCATTTTACATCCAAATGTACTTTACCATTTGCCTTTAATGCACTTTGTACTTGTCGGCTGCGCCTCGTAAGGTGGCGGTGGTGATGGTGGCTTCAGCCAAATGTTTATGGTCGCCCTCACTCCATCAACAAATCCTTGTATTTTGTTTCCTTTCACCAAAGGGTAGTGCTACGTGATCACCACCGTGAGCTGAGGCAGCCCTCACCCGAGCGAAGTTTTTCAAGCTCAAGTTCATCCTTTCGATGTGAGCTCTGAGGCTGTGTGGGAGAGTCGACTCGCTTCTCAGGTCCACTTCAGAACGCACAAGTGGCGTGCCTGTGAACCGGTGATCAGATGATGTTGTATTGAAGAAAGAGGCCAAATTGTGCATAGATGAATTGCTTTAATTCGGATTCAGGCGGATGTGAACATCGCATCGACAAAGTGGTTTCGTGCGTGGGGTCAGAATCATGACCAGACCTTGTTGTGCGTCAGTCCAATTCATCAGACGAGGTGGAGTAACTGGAGGATGGAGGGCCTAGCCACAATCATTTGGCAGAATCGGTGTCTTTCTTCCCCCGCTTCACCTCCTCCACTCATTTCATTCCACATTCACGCAAGTGATGGCAGAATGACCAACCTTCCTTGTATAGCGTTCTTCCAAAAGAACTGGAAGGGACATTGCGGCAATATCACTGAAAACAGTCCAAATTATTTGCGCTCTAAATGAGTGGCATCTGCAGATGAAGCAAACAGACCTCTACAGCACACGGTTCCCATGTCCAGTAAGACGTATAACATTGCACCAACATCTTGCCGCCCATAAAAGTGGGGAGAATGGTGTTCCGTTCAGCTGGACAAGGGACGTTTAGAATGCAACCTCCTGCAATGGCAACAGAGGAGGCAGGAAGTGGAGGTGGAGGAGTAGAACAGATTGGTCCAGTCATGTGACCATTTCGGTGTGATAAAGCGGTCGCTGGAGAGGCAATGCAGTTCAGGTGAGGGTTGTCACTGGCTGTGGCGTAGATGCCTGCCAAAAGAGGTCGCACATGGTAGCAGGGAGTAAGCAATGAAGAAAGGAACGACCTTTTGTCATACCTTGTGCTCTGTAAGCAGGTCTTTATTGTTTTTGTTTCTTGTCCCACGCGGATGGCATCTTTGCATTCACTTCAACTATCAAGCAATATGAGATCTCTCCGTTTTGTTACCTACGGATACTTCCTCAGGCGCTTGAAGCACCTAAACTTGTGGAATTGATTCTCAAAAAAGTGTGGCAATAATATTTCAACGGCCAAAACGTTCTTTGGCGCTCTGATTCATGTTATTCTTGATTTCCGTAGTGTTTGTGTCCTATCTATAATCTCGTAAGCGTATAAACATCAGCTTACTACACCTAAAACTCATAAATAATTTATAAATTTGCTTTTTGGAGTTTATACAAGGTAGGCCATTTTGAAGTCAGGAGGTTATTTAATTTGAACTCCGCACTCTTTCGAAATCAGCTAGCCTCTTTTGTTCCTTTTACGAATTATTTGATTTGCTAATGATTTATTAATGAAATTATCAATCCTCGTGTTCTTCTCTCTTCAGCTCTCCACTCCTGAAAATGACGGCAAGGGTGGATTGGCCACAGGTGGCTTCGTTGCCACGTCACTACACCCTATATCCACTACCATTCCTGGCCGCTTTCCTGAGCCCATTTCAGAGGCTAGTGAGTCTCTCGTGTTGCATTCACCACCATTACTGAGTCCAGAGGTGGAATGTAAACTGCATCGAAGACAGGGGTCAAGGGGAGCCATGCCGATTGCAATGCAGCAATCATTAACGTCAAAGGGTGTGCAACCAACGCCAACACCGCCTGCGTTTTTGGCAACCCCATTGAATAGACGATCGGAGAAGGGGTCCTCCTCGATGTGCGCATGTTTACAAGCGGGTTTCTCAAGAAAGTTTAGAGGTTTGTGTGTTTGCTACTGAAATTGATGCTGAAGTTGAGCATCAATTTGTTTTCGACTTGACCATTTGTTAATGCTTACGAGCGGTCCTTTCACTGCTTTTTACTGTACTCGCTACTGAACATAATGTTTTGAGCAGTGTGTTCTTTGGTAAAGGTGGTAGAATTTGAAGCTTTTTTTATTATTATACGTCCAATTCATTCAGAAATTTGGTCCTAATTCTTATTATTACCATCTGGATCATTCGGTTTTTACTGAAGGCAGTTTAATGCGTAATCACCAAATACAAAACGACCCAGGTGCAAACTGACCAATGGCATGCAAGATGTGAGGTCAGGTGTGACTCACCCGAGGCGTAGTGATGAGTTCATGACCAAGCTGTGCTCATTGAATATTCTTCCAGTCTCTGTGCGTAGGTCTAGGTTACAGAGGCTTCGAGGCTTTAAAAGTGTGTTAATTCGTGGTGGATAATCAGTCAGAAACAACCGCTGCATAATCCATTTCATTAAAACAACTATTATAAATGTAATTTTGAACTTCACTCTTGTTAAGAGTTGTTAAAGTTACTAAAATCTGTGGTAAATTTGTCCAGCAAAAATGTCAAATAGGTCTGTGTAGTTGAGAGCCAATCACGGTGCAGCAATATTGTAGGCTTAACCAATGAGGTGCATCGGAAGTCAAGGAAGTTTTTTTTGTTCCACATAAAAAGTGTTCATTTTATGGAAATCGAATAAATCTTCTACCTGTAAATGTTCCTCGAATTCGCCATCTTGTAATTTTAAGACTTCACCAGCAACTAACTAACCAATTGAGTAGGCGAGTGTAACTTTTTTTGATATTTGATGACAAATTAATCTAAAATAAACAGAAGACTTTTGGGGAATGTCTATCGCATTGTAGACGGATGAAATCTTCGAAATTTACTGTCTTCTGCTAGGGTTACACAGATATTAAAGTTTTGATTCTAATTGTGGCTAATCGAACGGTAGTAATTCTTTCGAACCTCCTTTTGAAAAGAAGGCTTTTCTATGTAACCCCTTTTTATGAATTCTGATTACACGTAATAATTTTTGGTGGAATAAATAATTTCCCTAATTAAGCTCTTGGAAATCTCACTAATCACTTCTTATCATTCTCGATATGCGAATACTACAAGGATTACTATTAAACTGCGAATTTGAAGGTTTCTTACATGTTTTTTCCTTTTGAGTGAAATGAATCCTACTTTTAACACGTAAAAGCATCCAGATAGAGTAGATTATGTGAAATCAGGTTTAATCCAGTTTAAGAGACAGATTTCACACTATTTAGTGTAGTAGGTCTCATCATGCATCCTAACAATGGTCAATCGCGGTGACCTTCAAACATCGTTCGGGGAGAATATTTAATTCGTGTGATTACCTTAAAGATCAATAATGTTGTGATAGTGACGCTAGTTTGGCCAATCAGATAATAGTTAGCAGGTCAAATGTATATTTGTCCATCCGGGATGATAGGACTTGTTTTAATTGAGTAGTCTTTTCCAAACTGCAATGATTGCCTCAAAATATGTAATCTCCCATTGGTAAACTTAGGACACTGATCCATTTTGTATTTGATTAATGAATTGTTGCAATATGTTCATTTTTCTCGTAGGTCGAACCCGTGTTTTCTGGCGCGTTGTAACCAACCCTGTTTGGTTGGGAGTAACAGCCACCACGGTGACTGAGAACACCATCGTCTCTGCCTATCTTACCTACGCTGCCAAATACCTGCAGGCCCAGTTTCGCACACCTGCTCATCTTGCAAGCATTCATACGGGTGGGTGCTGTGTTGAAGTCATGGGTTAAAGGTCAAGTGAAGACTAGGCTTACTCTGTTTAGATATTCATGCGATAAATAGCGAGGCTCGTTTAACTCATAATTCTTATCAAACGAGCCAATGTCGTCAGATTTTGAACTCAAATTAGTATCCACCTTATTCGTTTGACATCAAAGTTACCAGGCCAAAAGGTCAACAGGGAGGTAAAAATGTTGTGTCCAAATTCACAAAAATGGGGGTTTATTTAAGCCTGAATTTATGTTTATTCAGTTGGGTTTGTTATATCTTAAAGCTGGTTAACAGTCCTTTTTTCCATGTAGAAATTGTAAGGTCAAGAGGTCAATCGAAGGGTTGGATGATTAAAAGAAAAAAGAATTAGTTATTTCTCAAGTGCGATCTTTAACGAGTCGTTTTAATTTGTTTCAAAAGACAAGGGAGGTACTCCAATATCGAGCCATCAAAACACAAGTGTGTATTTGGTTGCTGTCGCAGCGTTTATTTCAAAAAAGTTCTTTCAACGTATCAGTAATGCTAAATGACGCAAGTTGGTGTTGTTTTAAAGCTATTGCAAAATCTCAACAGGAAGGTCGGATTAACTTATCTTGAAACACGTAAATTTTGCTTCAATCAAAGCCCAAATCATAGGCGTCAAAATTGACGTAGTCTAGTGGCTTTCCCCTCTACATCAAACAACCAATCAGGTTAGAAGTAATCTCTCTTTGAAGTACTGGCGAAAGTAGTCGTATTCTTCGCAGAGATCGGTAGATGCCGGGTCTAAGCTACTCCCTCAAAGAACGTTGCAAAACATGAGAAGCTGGAAGGCGCTTTGTAATCAACAGGTACTGAGGAACTGGGAGACCAAGGGAGAACTCATTGCTATCAGCAATGTTACTAATTTGTGGGATATGGAAGGGGTTCACATAGCCAAATAGATAGCTGCAATAAGCACAATTCTCAGGCAATTCAATGGCTTCGTCATTAATCCTTTCTCAGTGAGACAAAATCCTGCCGGGAATTTAAATCTGGGAACATTTCCCCTACATAAGCAAAATAACCAAGCCCAATCCCAGCTATTCCTCCTTATGTCTCACTGTTACTTCGCATTTGACTATCTAACCTTAGTGCCAATAAGAGCGGATAAGCATCACGTGCAAAAATATTACTGGAGAAATATAGCGGATGGGGTTGAGGACGAGACACACGATCTTCCACTCTCCCCTTGCTTAGCAGCATAACACAGAAACCATTTCTTATCACAAATTAGTCCGGCAACCGGTTAAGCATCAAACAATCCTCTCCCACTGGTCTTTGAATAGCATATTGTTGTGTTTGGGGTGAATTTAACTCTAGAGAAAAGTGGAGAGCTCGGCCATCTCGTCCTTGTCTTGCGCCTTAAACCTATTTAGATGGTCTTTAAAAGACGTACACAAGAAATGACCTTCAACGACGCATTGGAAACAATCTCGCTGCATAATATCTGAACAGACAAATGTGGTTTTTGTGGGTGCAATTCCAGTTGAAGTACAGGTGAATGTTAATTCGTGGTGTCAATAAATTGGACAGCCACTTTAGTTAAGTGCGTCAGTGTGGAAAAAGGCTACAAGGTGGGAAGAGGAGGACAGGTGGGTTGCAGTCGCGATTGGATGGGTTGAAAACCACGAAAACCCCTGAGACTCAGACCATTTGGATTCCCGCAATCATGTAACATAGTAATGCAGTATAAAGGAATGTGGTCTGGCGTGGTGTAGTATAGGGTGGTGAGGGGGTCTGTTTGAAGTCCAAATGATTGTGTAATACCAGCATGGAAGCTCAACCGTATCGATGTAGAGAAAGTCGCTTCCACCCAATGCATATAAGCATCGTTTGAGCATAAGCGAGTGGGTGTGGTGATGTCAACGGATGTCTCTGTTGTGTCGCATCCACATGACTCTACCAATTTCACAGGAAGGAGTGAGACCCTACCCCGACTTTGATTCATCCTCCATTCCGTCCTCCACTGGTGCAAGCATGCAACATTGTGCTTCATGTAATCCATCGTGTTCATGTGGTTCACTGGAAGCAGGTTGCTCAACACATACCCATGAGCATCCAACAAGTGCATGGAACGTCTGACACACATCTCATCTCACTTGACGAAGTCGCGCAGCACACGAATCCTTCCTTCCACTGTCGCGCTCAATACGCCATAACTAAAGGACGAACGCGGACATTAGCAATTTCGACAGGATAGGTCACGCAGCCTGCCAAAACTCGCTCTCTCCTTCATCCAGCTCAGAAGGACTGAATGTTCAATTCCCAATACTCACTGCTGAATGCAGTGAAGCCTAAGAAGACAAGGATTTTCTGGATCGCATCAGTATGAGTGATGCAAGAAACCTGGGTATGCTGTACTGTACTATACCATACTATGGTGTAAAGTGGCGTGGTACATCACTTCCTACCGCCACCACCATAAGTGTCATCAAGGAAGTGGAAGCATGCGGATTCACCGTACTCCACAGCCACCCACGACGAATTGGAGCAGACTGCCTTAGGATGCTTCAGCTGTTCTGCTTCGATTTGAGTGCATTTTACATCCAAATGTACTTTACCATTTGCCTTTAATGCACTTTGTACTTGTCGGCTGCGCCTCGTAAGGTGGCGGTGGTGATGGTGGCTTCAGCCAAATGTTTATGGTCGCCCTCACTCCATCAACAAATCCTTGTATTTTGTTTCCTTTCACCAAAGGGTAGTGCTACGTGATCACCACCGTGAGCTGAGGCAGCCCTCACCCGAGCGAAGTTTTTCAAGCTCAAGTTCATCCTTTCGATGTGAGCTCTGAGGCTGTGTGGGAGAGTCGACTCGCTTCTCAGGTCCACTTCAGAACGCACAAGTGGCGTGCCTGTGAACCGGTGATCAGATGATGTTGTATTGAAGAAAGAGGCCAAATTGTGCATAGATGAATTGCTTTAATTCGGATTCAGGCGGATGTGAACATCGCATCGACAAAGTGGTTTCGTGCGTGGGGTCAGAATCATGACCAGACCTTGTTGTGCGTCAGTCCAATTCATCAGACGAGGTGGAGTAACTGGAGGATGGAGGGCCTAGCCACAATCATTTGGCAGAATCGGTGTCTTTCTTCCCCCGCTTCACCTCCTCCACTCATTTCATTCCACATTCACGCAAGTGATGGCAGAATGACCAACCTTCCTTGTATAGCGTTCTTCCAAAAGAACTGGAAGGGACATTGCGGCAATATCACTGAAAACAGTCCAAATTATTTGCGCTCTAAATGAGTGGCATCTGCAGATGAAGCAAACAGACCTCTACAGCACACGGTTCCCATGTCCAGTAAGACGTATAACATTGCACCAACATCTTGCCGCCCATAAAAGTGGGGAGAATGGTGTTCCGTTCAGCTGGACAAGGGACGTTTAGAATGCAACCTCCTGCAATGGCAACAGAGGAGGCAGGAAGTGGAGGTGGAGGAGTAGAACAGATTGGTCCAGTCATGTGACCATTTCGGTGTGATAAAGCGGTCGCTGGAGAGGCAATGCAGTTCAGGTGAGGGTTGTCACTGGCTGTGGCGTAGATGCCTGCCAAAAGAGGTCGCACATGGTAGCAGGGAGTAAGCAATGAAGAAAGGAACGACCTTTTGTCATACCTTGTGCTCTGTAAGCAGGTCTTTATTGTTTTTGTTTCTTGTCCCACGCGGATGGCATCTTTGCATTCACTTCAACTATCAAGCAATATGAGATCTCTCCGTTTTGTTACCTACGGATACTTCCTCAGGCGCTTGAAGCACCTAAACTTGTGGAATTGATTCTCAAAAAAGTGTGGCAATAATATTTCAACGGCCAAAACGTTCTTTGGCGCTCTGATTCATGTTATTCTTGATTTCCGTAGTGTTTGTGTCCTATCTATAATCTCGTAAGCGTATAAACATCAGCTTACTACACCTAAAACTCATAAATAATTTATAAATTTGCTTTTTGGAGTTTATACAAGGTAGGCCATTTTGAAGTCAGGAGGTTATTTAATTTGAACTCCGCACTCTTTCGAAATCAGCTAGCCTCTTTTGTTCCTTTTACGAATTATTTGATTTGCTAATGATTTATTAATGAAATTATCAATCCTCGTGTTCTTCTCTCTTCAGCTCTCCACTCCTGAAAATGACGGCAAGGGTGGATTGGCCACAGGTGGCTTCGTTGCCACGTCACTACACCCTATATCCACTACCATTCCTGGCCGCTTTCCTGAGCCCATTTCAGAGGCTAGTGAGTCTCTCGTGTTGCATTCACCACCATTACTGAGTCCAGAGGTGGAATGTAAACTGCATCGAAGACAGGGGTCAAGGGGAGCCATGCCGATTGCAATGCAGCAATCATTAACGTCAAAGGGTGTGCAACCAACGCCAACACCGCCTGCGTTTTTGGCAACCCCATTGAATAGACGATCGGAGAAGGGGTCCTCCTCGATGTGCGCATGTTTACAAGCGGGTTTCTCAAGAAAGTTTAGAGGTTTGTGTGTTTGCTACTGAAATTGATGCTGAAGTTGAGCATCAATTTGTTTTCGACTTGACCATTTGTTAATGCTTACGAGCGGTCCTTTCACTGCTTTTTACTGTACTCGCTACTGAACATAATGTTTTGAGCAGTGTGTTCTTTGGTAAAGGTGGTAGAATTTGAAGCTTTTTTTATTATTATACGTCCAATTCATTCAGAAATTTGGTCCTAATTCTTATTATTACCATCTGGATCATTCGGTTTTTACTGAAGGCAGTTTAATGCGTAATCACCAAATACAAAACGACCCAGGTGCAAACTGACCAATGGCATGCAAGATGTGAGGTCAGGTGTGACTCACCCGAGGCGTAGTGATGAGTTCATGACCAAGCTGTGCTCATTGAATATTCTTCCAGTCTCTGTGCGTAGGTCTAGGTTACAGAGGCTTCGAGGCTTTAAAAGTGTGTTAATTCGTGGTGGATAATCAGTCAGAAACAACCGCTGCATAATCCATTTCATTAAAACAACTATTATAAATGTAATTTTGAACTTCACTCTTGTTAAGAGTTGTTAAAGTTACTAAAATCTGTGGTAAATTTGTCCAGCAAAAATGTCAAATAGGTCTGTGTAGTTGAGAGCCAATCACGGTGCAGCAATATTGTAGGCTTAACCAATGAGGTGCATCGGAAGTCAAGGAAGTTTTTTTTGTTCCACATAAAAAGTGTTCATTTTATGGAAATCGAATAAATCTTCTACCTGTAAATGTTCCTCGAATTCGCCATCTTGTAATTTTAAGACTTCACCAGCAACTAACTAACCAATTGAGTAGGCGAGTGTAACTTTTTTTGATATTTGATGACAAATTAATCTAAAATAAACAGAAGACTTTTGGGGAATGTCTATCGCATTGTAGACGGATGAAATCTTCGAAATTTACTGTCTTCTGCTAGGGTTACACAGATATTAAAGTTTTGATTCTAATTGTGGCTAATCGAACGGTAGTAATTCTTTCGAACCTCCTTTTGAAAAGAAGGCTTTTCTATGTAACCCCTTTTTATGAATTCTGATTACACGTAATAATTTTTGGTGGAATAAATAATTTCCCTAATTAAGCTCTTGGAAATCTCACTAATCACTTCTTATCATTCTCGATATGCGAATACTACAAGGATTACTATTAAACTGCGAATTTGAAGGTTTCTTACATGTTTTTTCCTTTTGAGTGAAATGAATCCTACTTTTAACACGTAAAAGCATCCAGATAGAGTAGATTATGTGAAATCAGGTTTAATCCAGTTTAAGAGACAGATTTCACACTATTTAGTGTAGTAGGTCTCATCATGCATCCTAACAATGGTCAATCGCGGTGACCTTCAAACATCGTTCGGGGAGAATATTTAATTCGTGTGATTACCTTAAAGATCAATAATGTTGTGATAGTGACGCTAGTTTGGCCAATCAGATAATAGTTAGCAGGTCAAATGTATATTTGTCCATCCGGGATGATAGGACTTGTTTTAATTGAGTAGTCTTTTCCAAACTGCAATGATTGCCTCAAAATATGTAATCTCCCATTGGTAAACTTAGGACACTGATCCATTTTGTATTTGATTAATGAATTGTTGCAATATGTTCATTTTTCTCGTAGGTCGAACCCGTGTTTTCTGGCGCGTTGTAACCAACCCTGTTTGGTTGGGAGTAACAGCCACCACGGTGACTGAGAACACCATCGTCTCTGCCTATCTTACCTACGCTGCCAAATACCTGCAGGCCCAGTTTCGCACACCTGCTCATCTTGCAAGCATTCATACGGGTGGGTGCTGTGTTGAAGTCATGGGTTAAAGGTCAAGTGAAGACTAGGCTTACTCTGTTTAGATATTCATGCGATAAATAGCGAGGCTCGTTTAACTCATAATTCTTATCAAACGAGCCAATGTCGTCAGATTTTGAACTCAAATTAGTATCCACCTTATTCGTTTGACATCAAAGTTACCAGGCCAAAAGGTCAACAGGGAGGTAAAAATGTTGTGTCCAAATTCACAAAAATGGGGGTTTATTTAAGCCTGAATTTATGTTTATTCAGTTGGGTTTGTTATATCTTAAAGCTGGTTAACAGTCCTTTTTTCCATGTAGAAATTGTAAGGTCAAGAGGTCAATCGAAGGGTTGGATGATTAAAAGAAAAAAGAATTAGTTATTTCTCAAGTGCGATCTTTAACGAGTCGTTTTAATTTGTTTCAAAAGACAAGGGAGGTACTCCAATATCGAGCCATCAAAACACAAGTGTGTATTTGGTTGCTGTCGCAGCGTTTATTTCAAAAAAGTTCTTTCAACGTATCAGTAATGCTAAATGACGCAAGTTGGTGTTGTTTTAAAGCTATTGCAAAATCTCAACAGGAAGGTCGGATTAACTTATCTTGAAACACGTAAATTTTGCTTCAATCAAAGCCCAAATCATAGGCGTCAAAATTGACGTAGTCTAGTGGCTTTCCCCTCTACATCAAACAACCAATCAGGTTAGAAGTAATCTCTCTTTGAAGTACTGGCGAAAGTAGTCGTATTCTTCGCAGAGATCGGTAGATGCCGGGTCTAAGCTACTCCCTCAAAGAACGTTGCAAAACATGAGAAGCTGGAAGGCGCTTTGTAATCAACAGGTACTGAGGAACTGGGAGACCAAGGGAGAACTCATTGCTATCAGCAATGTTACTAATTTGTGGGATATGGAAGGGGTTCACATAGCCAAATAGATAGCTGCAATAAGCACAATTCTCAGGCAATTCAATGGCTTCGTCATTAATCCTTTCTCAGTGAGACAAAATCCTGCCGGGAATTTAAATCTGGGAACATTTCCCCTACATAAGCAAAATAACCAAGCCCAATCCCAGCTATTCCTCCTTATGTCTCACTGTTACTTCGCATTTGACTATCTAACCTTAGTGCCAATAAGAGCGGATAAGCATCACGTGCAAAAATATTACTGGAGAAATATAGCGGATGGGGTTGAGGACGAGACACACGATCTTCCACTCTCCCCTTGCTTAGCAGCATAACACAGAAACCATTTCTTATCACAAATTAGTCCGGCAACCGGTTAAGCATCAAACAATCCTCTCCCACTGG